GTGAGGTCTTAAGTCACCTGATTCACGAGCCCGTTGTACTACATTAACAAAGGCACGAGGGGTTTGTTGCACTCGATTGGGAAACCGATCCGCATAAACATGTGCCATTTTTTATTTCGTTTGAGCCACGCAACAGATACCACTATTCACTGACACTGACTGTATACAAATGAATGAAATAATTGTAAAAACATCGTTCCAAATTCTTTCGCTTTTTTGTTTCCGATGCGATGAACCGATACGGCGGATTATATCCGTTGTCGCCAAACACGAGCACATAATATTATTATTGAGACAGGGCGGTACTCAAACTTCCAAAGGGCTATAACTTTGTTACTTTAATTTTACCAGAAAAATGGTAAAGGAAAAAAACATTTCTTTTGATCAGATCTACTCACTGTTAAAATAAATGACTCAACTTCGAAGTCACCCTGTACATACGTAGATGATGGTATTTATTAATGAGATCAAAGTTTTTGCATTTATAAGAAGTATTTGAAAGTATAAACAATTCCTAATGGCCATTTTATAACCTTCATTTCTTGACAGATAATATCAATGATGTCCATTGTTGCCAAGTTGTACTTTTTTTTGAGAAATACGTAATTACAAAAAAAAGGTTATTTGCAAAATAAAAGTCTTAATTTATTGTAAATGACTTGTTTTATGTGAAATTGTCCCAATATTTACTGAAAGCTAGATGAAACTTTGAACAGTACGTGCCTAAACAATGAAAAATGCACCAGCGGGTCGCGTGACATAAAAAGTCAAAATTCACCAGCGGACATTGCATATAAAAATACCCAACTTCGATTCGTCGACATTTAATTAGGTATAAAAACTAACGCTATCATAGGACACGAGGTAGATTTGGTACAGCAAAACCTGCCGGTCACTCCTCCAAATCGCATTTTCATGGCAATCCTGTGCCGATTGCACATTTTCCGCTAGTATATAAGTAAGAACTTGGCAAACCAAGTCAAGGTATATACTAAGTGACATATAAATCCGAACACCCAGTTTATATGGTTTTATTTTAATAAAAGTTGTTGAATGTATTTATCTTACTGTAAATAACAAGAGAAAAAATGTTCAGCCTTATCAGTTGGACATTCCGGTTTCTATACTGCTTTTTTTTAATTCACTAACGCTCTAAAAATGAATATTTCAGCCGCAGTAAAGAATCAACGTTGGCGGATTTTGGTTCTTGACATCCTTTACGATCGGTTACGATGCCTAGAGTACGGAGACCTGTACGATTTCGTCAACTTAGTGAGTTTGATAGGGGCCGTATAGTGGGACTTCGGGAAGCTGGACTTTCTTTTCGGGCAAAGAAGTGTAGACACTGTGGTTAGGTGTTGTCAGGCATGGCTTCGAGAAGGCCGTACGCAAAGAGCAAGGGGCACTGGGCGCCGCCGTAGAACAACAGACCGTGAAGATCGCCGCCTAAGATTATTGGCCTTAAGGGACCGTTTCTCCACTACCAGGTCCATTGCAAATGAATGGTTTGCAGAACACGGAAGACCTATTGGCATGCGAAGTGTTTACCGACGAATGAGAAGTTTTGGCTTGTTTTCATACCGGCCACACTGGGTCCTCCCTTTAACTCGAGAACACCGACGTAATCGCCTTGAGTGGTGCAGACAACGGTCACTCTGGGATCAGGAATGGAACAGTATTGTCTTTAGTGACGAGTCTCGATTTTGTTTAGGCATACACGATGGTAGTTGCCAGGGTTAGAAGGCGACGTGGTGAAAGGAGGAATCCACAGTTTTTTGTTGAAAGACATGTTCATCACACTGTTGGAGTTATGGTTTAGGGTGCTATAGCTTATGGTTCCAGGTCACCTTTAATCTTCATCAGAGGTAACATGAACGCGCAGCGTTATATCCACGAAGTTCCAGAACCCCAACTTTTACCCCATCTTGACACCCTGGCAGATCCAACTTTCCAACAAGATAATGCCCGACCACATGTTGCAAGAGTCACAATAGACTTCTTTCAACATAATGATGTCACATTGTTACCATGGCCACCAAGATCTCCCGACTTATCCCCAATTGAGCACGTGTGGCATATGATGGGTAGGAGATTGCTCAATTTGCAACGTCCTCCTCAGACTCTAGAAGCACTTCGAGAGGAGTTGGTGGTTGCTTGGAATGAGATACCACAGGAGGACATTGACCACCTGATCAGAAGCATGCCTATTCGCGTTGGAGAATGCGTAGCACATCAGGGTGCATCCACACATTATTAAAGGTCAAAGGGCTTTAAAGCAGTGCAATCATTTTGAAATTTTTATCATTTACTTATTATACTTTATTAAGTACTTATACAAAATTTTATTAAAATAAAACTATTTAAACTGGGTGTTCGGATTTATATGTCACTTAGTATATTACTATCCAGGATTTGGCAACATTGCGATTAGATGGAGAAATTATGATAGTGATGGTGGTGTAGTTATGGGAACATTTATCTGAATCTTTTGTGTAAACAAAAAAAAACCGCTTATAAATCAGTATTCTATACCACTATATTAAAAATGCTATTTTCGTACAAGTTATATCCACACTTTTCATTTTAAAATAAGAAATGAAATACTTGCCGTATGCGCTAAAGTATAGTTCAGCAGTATTTTGTCCTGAATACGATTATTATTGTGTATTTGAGGTAAATTATTAATTCCTCTTATTCTCATGCCTAGACTTCAGTTAAATAACCTTTTGCACGATATATACATATGCAAATGAATACTTAAGATATGTTTTATAATGTATAATATAATGTGCTTTAGCAGTTCTATGACATGTTTAAAAAGCTCGCAAAATAATAGCTATATGTGCGCTGCATCACTATTCGTCGAAAGAATAGGCAATGTACAAAGCTTTATTCATTTTTACCAACGGTATCATGTATCAATTTTTTTTAAACTCTTTTAGTACCACTGGAATGGTTTAGAAAATAAAGGAACTGACATTTCAAACCGTTGTGAATTCTGCCATGTGGACTAGCACTAGCAACTAAAAATATAAATACATAAAGCTCTGCTGGAAAACAAACCTTCCCATCGAAGAAACGGCTCGATATTCTGAAAAATTTAAGAAATGCAAAATATTGCTGAAACATCACGATACGTAACTGCATATTAACCTAGGTCCTAGATGCATCGCGTATGTACACGAATATACAAAGATCGATGACAAAATGTATTAAGGTATTAAGTTATCAGTCTATGAAGTAACAACATACGCAATACCAAGCAAAAGTTTGATACATTGAAATCCTGTCTTTCGAATATTTTTCAAAGCTTATTACAGCGTCCTTACAGTAGACCATATCATAAGTTCATTGTCTCTCTTAACAGCATAACTGAATTAAAATGTATTAACCAGCCTTGTCAATAATTTTTCATCAGAAGGTACATTTGTCCTTCGACTGTTCCCAACTAGCAAAGTAGTTGTATAAGCTTTTCGTAAAAGAACCGTTCAGCCATAAAAGCTCTCTATTGTTGTTGCCTGAACACCAAAATGCTGGCTTAATGTTGTGTGGAATGCAAATTTGCTTTCTGCAACATATTTGCTCTAAAGTGAGGTGTTTAAAAGCATAGTTATACAACACTTTATAGGGCAAATTTTTAACTGTCGCATAAACGTTTCTACAACTATTTTATACGGCATATTTGCACGTTATTCAAAATGGTTGTGTTGCGGCATCCATGGTAACGTTTATAAAACAAACCCGAGCCTTGTTGTTTTGCTGTGCAATTCACTACTTTAGCCAAAAAATTGCTCCCAACAGAAGCACTTATACAACTGTTGTTTAGTAACTGTTAAAGGCTGTACGTAAGTATGTTAAATATACGCATGCATATTGGTTCAAAATGTTTTATCAACTGTTCATAACAGAAGATATAGATCTGGTACAAATTCTGGGTGAATCATTCGACTCTGACGCTATTTCATTTCAGACATTTGTCAAATTGTTGTATAACGCCTGCAGGCCACACCAAAATATTCTAATAACCTAAAGACAACATGGACGATGCCATGATTATACACAACCACTCGCCATATTGGGCAAACATTTATTCCTCTATTTACTATTAAATAGTTATGTTTCAGTTCGAAATTGCAGATATAAAGTGATAAACATTAGTGCAATTGTGTCTAAATATAGGATTTGTGGAAGATTTAACGCAGATAAGTTCAGTTTTCCATCTTAAAAATCTAGACATACTTTTGATCATTATCAAAATATGAATCAAATATGATGCCCGTAGAAATTGCGTAACTAATTTGCACGATAATCACAATAAAATTTGCTGCGCAAGTAATTCAATAGCCCTATATCACAGTAGAAGTTCATCATATACCTGTGTACGAAATTGACAATGGCCGATATGTAAGTAAACAAGATGACTGTAATGTATTAGTTATATATTCTTCTTCGTCTATACAATACATAAGAAATAGTTTGGTTGCAATAAATTAGAATCACGTAACATAACAGTTGCATAGTTAACAAAAACTGAATCTTGCACGCAAATGTACTATAGCGGCTGCAAGAGGCTTACACTTTTGTTGTATAACTGTTACCAGCAGCCCTTGTACAACCTCTTAAATGACTGAAGTGTCCTATTAGGTGTGCCCATTCCGCTTGTATAGCAGTTCTAAGAGGGTTTTGCTAATATTCTTACACTATACAATGCTGTTTAAGGAATACTGTATAATCATTCTTGCAACTCTATTAGGAGTGATAATTCTTAGTTGGTCATTATTTCTAGGTATCCGTCTTTCTGTTTTTTCTACTGCTTATATCTCACGCGCTGTCTGTCAAATCTGTCAGTCGACTGTCACATTGTTCTGTCATTTATCTATGGCAATGTAATGGGAACATAGATATATGAACATGACTATTACACACTTTTTGTAGCCTGCGTAACAGACATTTTTCTGAACTGTACACACAAGTAACATGCAGAATGAGTTATGTTTTACCTCAACAGCCTAGTTATGTAGTCCGGCCAGTTATCTGGAAACATGACCAAGAAGAAGCCCACAGCGATCAGGATCATTCCTGCTAACTTCATGCCCTCGAAGCTTGCGTCGTATAGCACCACGTCTAAAGCTGAAATTCGAAGTGGAAGGTACGTTCAATGAAAATAAAATGAAAGAAATTACAGTAATTGGTTTGAAAAAACTGCGAGAAATGTTTTTACAACACAATGTACAGTGGACCTCCGGTAATCCGACAAACATTATGCAGGGCAGTGTCGGACTATCGAATTTGTCGGATTATAGAGCACTGCCTAAGACCAACTATAGTCCGGAATTTTTTACAAAAGAGTACCTTGTAATCAGACAAATTACATATCCAATGGTAAGATTATATGTATATGTTATGTATATGTATGTACTTTGAAGTACAAATCATACATAGTTTATGTATGTCGAATTTAGTAAATTAAATAACAATAGAGAGCTTACGTTTTATTATAAAATTAAGCATAAATGCACATACATATGTACCAAAATAATCAAGAATTATTAATCAAAATCATTAATGAATTTATCAAATTATGAAGCTTGGAAATATTCATCAATTTTTTTTGTTTAAGATTGTTATAACGCGAGATCAGAGCTTTGTCCCTCAGTCTTCTCAAAAGTAAAAGTTCGTTGTAGGATGTACCATTCTCTTCAGCCCATTGTAAACCTAGCTCAAAGGCGTTAATTGCGTCTTGTTATTTTCCTGATTGTTTGTTGTATAATCAGAAACCTCTTTTATAATCTCTTCGTCAGATATTTCATGAAAAACATTTTCCTCTTTATCCATTCCACGGCACCAGATTTCCAAATCTTCCGGACTTATCTGTGTTTCAGTAGCGACTTGTTCTGTAACTTCCGAAGTAACACTGATTTGTGGAACGTTGCTAGGAGTGGTGACTATATCTGGCCATAACTTTTTCCAAGACGATTTAATAGTAGATGACGGTAACGCATTCCACGACTGACAAAGAGCAAAAACCAAGTCTTTCTTATTACATTTCAGAAGTAGATTTTTTTTATAGTCTTGCTTGACAAACTGAATGATATTTTGGTCCATTGGTTGAATCAGTGCAGTGCAATTTGGCGGAAAACACATCGCAGTGATGCATTTATCCTCAGTTGTTAGTTCTTCTTCAGAGTGAAACCAACACCCGGGTTTTCACAGATATTCAAGTAGTCTAAATTTAAACGCGATGACGACTACAGAAAATTTTTAATAATTCAGAGTGAAAATGATTGAAAATGATAAACAAAATCAACAAATGGCTGTGTAGCCGTTCTCAGAAGGGAAATGAAAAGATACTATGATAATAACATCGATAGCATCAAAAATACAACAAAAATTATTCTGAAATGATGTGGAAAAGATTAAAGAATATTGTTTCTACACATAGAAAGAATTATCTCAAATGCTGGATTTAGAACAAAATATTCTACAGAAACAACAATACAAATGGTGGTGGAAGACTGGAGAAGAAGTATAGATAAAAATGTATTGCAACAGTACTTTTACAGTTCAAAAGTTCATTTGAGACTATAGATAGGTAAAAATTGGTAATAAAAGTACATCGCTATGGTCTTAAAGGATCAGTATTATGCATTTTACAAAATTATTTAATAAATAGAAGTAAAAAACTAATGTTGGAAATAGTATGTGAAGCGTATATATCAGTAGAGGTGCCACAGGGGACTAAGTTAGGGCCGTCACTATTTATTATTTATATAAATGATATTTGTGACATTTTAGAGTAAAAATCAAATTTATGCGGAAGATAAATTTATACCTGTATATATATATATAGGTGAAAAATTAAAGCTTCCGCCTTTTGTTGGATACTTCGACCAAATTTAAGCAAAGAGGACTCTTTATACTTTTTTAATTCTCTCTAGCTTTTAATGGACTTTGCCATCATCATCAGGAGCTGCAATTACAATGATAACAGTAGCAGCAATAGTGTAAAATGAATTTAAATTGACTCATTAATTAAAATATAGTTTATTCAACTGCCTCTGGTCGGTTTAACAATTTCTTACATAACAATCTGAAAATCACATCATCTGAAGTGATTTGGCAACGTTGGCACACGCCCACAATTCGTTCCATCTTTCTACACAGACATTGACAACCTTCGGCCTTCTTTCAAAGGGTTCATCTCACTCATTATTCCATGACCACCATTTTGTGCAATCATCAAGTGGCTTCACGATGTAATGCTTTAATGTTTTTAAATAATATTTAATCTGTTTTTAACTTGTTCTTGTCATATTTTATATAATTTTGACCATTGTACCATCTATCCAGCTCTCACCATGTTACTGGACGTTTCCCTCATCCTATACGTAAACAACAATTAGCAACATCCTCACATACTACTGTAAGTTGAGTCAATTTAAATTCATTTTACACTATTGTTGCTACTGTTATCATTGTAATTGCAGCTCCTGATGATGATGGCAAAGTCCATTTAAAGCTAGAGAGAATTAAAAAAGTATAAAGAGTCCTCGTTGCTTAAATTTTGTCGAAGTACCCAACAAAAGGCGGAAGCTTTAATTTTTCACCTAACTGGTCTAGACGACAATGACCACGTCTCAAGTTATATATATATATATATATATATATATATATATATATATATATATATATATATATATATATTAATAAAGCCAAATTAAACACTGAACAATAAAGCAAAACTGCCTCTAAGCTTCATAATACCACAATGAAGCGTTCTTTTCTCTATTTTTAGAACATAGACATAATTTTAAAAAGAAATTATCATTGAATAGGAAGAGAACATATTAATGAACTCCTATTAAATATTCTTTAAAAGTTATCATTCTGTACATAACTAAGTGACAAGTGACAAAAATTTCAAAATGATTGCACTGCTTTAAAGCCCTTTGACCTTTAATAATGTGTGGATGCACCCTGATGTGCTACGCATTCTCCAACGCGCCTAGGCATGCTTCTGATCAGGTGGTCAATGTCCTCCTGTGGTATCTCATTCCAGGCAACCACCAACTCCTCTCGAAGTGCTTCTAGAGTCTGAGGAGGACGTTGCAAATTGAGCAATCTCCTACCCATCATATCCCACACGTGCTCAATTGGGGATAAGTCGGGAGATCTTGGTGGCCATGGTAACAATGTGACATCATTATGTTGAAAGAAGTCTATTGTGACTCTTGCAACATGTGGTCGAGACTTATCACTAAAGACAATACTGTTCCATTCCTGATCCCAGAGTGACCATTGTCTACACCACTCAAGGCGATTACGTCGGTGTTCTCGAGTTAAAGGGAGGACCCAGTGTGGCCGGTATGAAAACACGCCAAAACTTCTCATTCGTCGGTAAACACTTCGCATGCCAATAGGTCTTCCGTGTTCTGCAAACCATTCATTTGCAATGGACCTGGTAGTGGAGAAACGGTCCCTTAAGGCCAATAATCTTAGGCGGCGATCTTCACGGTCTGTTGTTCTACGGCGGCGTCCAGTGCCCCTTGCTCTTTGCGCACGGCCTTCTCGAAGCCATGCCTGACAACACCTAACCACAGTGTCTACACTTCTTTGCACTCTAACTGCAATTGCCCGAAAAGAAAGTCCAGCTTCCCGAAGTCCCACTATACGGCCCCTATCAAACTCACTAAGTTGACGAAATCGTACAGGTCTCCGTACTCTAGGCATCGTAACCGATCGTAAAGGATGTCAAAAACCAAAACCCGCCAACGTTGATTCTTTACTGCGGCTGAAATATTCATTTTTAGAGCATTAGTGAATTAAAAAAAGCAGTATTAAAACCGGAATGTCCAACTGATAAGGCTGAAAATTTATTCACTTGTTATTTACAGTAAGATAAATACATTCACCAACTTTTATTAAAGTAAAACCATTTAAACTGGGTGTTCGGATTTATATGTCACTTACTATATTTTGTTTTGATTTTGGAATTTATTCCAATATACAACTGATCCATGTACAGACATTGTCCTTCTGTGGATTGAAACATACAGGGTGCTTCACATCGTATCTGACATTTAACCACATATGCACTGTTACGAAAGAAATTAATTTCTCAAGAAAAAAATGTAATAAAAGTCCTACAGAAATTAAGTTATAAACCTAGGTTTCAATAATAAATTAAACAATTTATTAATATCTGTATTTTGCGTTCATCGTCGTGATATTAGAACACGCATTGTAGCAAATGTTGTACCAAACAACTGACGAAAACAAAATATCAGGAATTTTTCTTTCGTACTTATAAAAACGTGTAAGTAAGGTTTAATCTGAAGTTAAATAAGAAAGTATTTTCGAGTTTATGTTTTCAGTTGTTTATTAATAAAAATGGCACATGTGTACACTAATGAGGAATTAGTGGACATTGTTTTAGCAGGGCAAAATTCGCGAGTGGTTGCTCGTTTGTATGCACACCGATTTGCGAAAAGGCACATACCACACCACGAAACATTTTGGGTCGGGTTTCCCCACAACGCGTTTTAAATGCTTAAGGCGAAATTTTGGATATTGTGAAAGAAAATCCGGAAATAAGCAAAAGGCAGTCAGGCAAACAGGTCCCAAAAGTGTCACATGCAACAGCGTGGCGCATATTACATGAGGCCCAACTGTACTCTTATTACGTTCAGATAGTCCAGGGCTACCTACAGACTACCTCCTAAGAGCCGTTTTACACACAAGAGAATTACTCCCAAAATTATGGTCATAATTATGCCGAAAATGTTTACTGTCGTATTACACATAAAAGAATTCTTGTGAAAATTTTCATGTTAAAAATATAAAACCCGCTCTATAGAGTATGCGCGAGAATCGGCGTAGAGGGTTATTTCCGTGCATGTCAATATCAAATGTCAACGTCAACAACATAACCTCACTTAACATTTATGGGTGTGGTCCTGTACGAAGAAGCGTTTATTGTTATTGCTTATTCGTAATGTCGTGGAATCGGGAAGAAGTTACACTTTTGTTGGAGGAGTACCAAAAATGGCCAAACCTGTACAAGGTGAAGTCACCCAATTATTACAAAAACAGAAATTTGCGGCGTCAGGCGCTGGATGAGATAGTCCAAGCATTAAATCAACGACGTCTGTTGTCTTTCCGATTATATTGAACGTCATACCCGTTAGGGTCATGTGCTTTCAAAATATTCGAAAATATTACTCTAAAGCGCAGGTGTTTTCTATGAATTACTCGGAAATTTTGTTTGGTTGTGTCATACAGGTTGTAGAGAAAATCTTCAAATCTTCCACGCAAATTTTCGGCATAATTATGACCATAATTTTCGGAGTAATTCTCTTGTGTGTAAAACGGCTCTAAGAGTAAGACTTTGTCAGTGGTTGTTGCGCGCCGAAGCTTGTATTGCAGTCAATGGAAACAATTTTGAACAGCTTTAACAAGCAAGTGAACTGTCAAGCTGTATTATTTTATTATCTCGATTTCTGTAGGACTTTTATTACATTTTTTTTTTGAGAAATCAACTTATTTCGTAACAGTGCATATGTGGTTAAATTTGTTGGATAAGTTGTGAAACACCCTCTATATTCACCCATTGTACTACTACTACCCTGTATAAGTGAAGCCGGTGTTCGAATAAAGTGACAAAAAACTATGAAATAAGAACTGTTGAAACAGTTCAAAGGGTTCCCCACACTATGCGGGAGGTAACATTCAGGCATAAGACCGTAAGACGAGTGCTCTTGTCGCTCGACATCAACAAAGCTTCTGGTCCGGACTTGATTCCTGCCATTGTACTGAAGAGATGTGCAGCGGAGCTTGTACCAGTTCTTTCGCGTCTCTTCCAGATATCTTATGGATCTGGCACCTTCCCAGAAAACTGGAAATTTGCTCATGTACAGCCCATCCCAAAAAAAGGATCTAAAACCGACCCTTACAACTACAGGCCTATAGCTCTGCTTTCTGTTATAAGTAAAGTGATGGAGAGGTGCATAAATCGCGAGCTTCTGGACTACCTCGAACGTCACAGCTTGATTAGCGACAGGCAGTATGGTTTCCGGCACCAACGATCCATAGGGGACCTCCTAGCTTACGTCACGCAACTGTGGAGTAAACTCATCCAGTCTCATGGTGAGGCTCATGTCGTCGCTCTTGACATCACGAAAGCGTTCGATCAGCTCTGGCCGCAAGATATCCGTCGTAATTGACGGATTCTCCTCTTCATCCCACAACGTCAACGCGGGTGTTCCCCAGGGATCGGTCTTGGCTCCAACACTGTTTCTCTTAGATATCAACGACCTCCTTTCCTGCACGATCAACCCAATTCACAGCTTCGCTGATGACAGCACTCTACATGCAGGAATTCAGAGTGACAAGCCGATCTCTGCCGCTGAGCTGGAAAAAAGAAGACTAGCGACGACTTCTTCTCTGACAAGAGACCTGGAGGCTATCACTGCTTGGGGACGCAACAATCTTGTACAGTTCAATGCTTCCAAAACACAGTACTGTACTTTGACGAACAAAAAGCGTCCTAGCGCTCATACAGTTTCGATGGACGGTCGAGTTCTACCAAAGAGCCATTCATTTCGGCTGGTCGGAGTCCAGATCACCGAGGACCTGATCTGGCACGAACACATCTCTTCAATAGCTGCAGCTGCTGGGAAAAAGCTAGGCTATTTGTTTAGGGCTAAGAAGTACTTTTCTCCGCATGACCTTCTCACTCTATACAAGGCCCAGATAAGGCCTAGCCTCGAGTATTGCTCACACATTTGGGGTGCTGCCGCCCCGACTACATTGTCCATGCTCGATGCTGTCCAGAGGAGGGCGGTCCGACTGATCGATGACTCTTCCCTAGCAGACAGTCTCGGGACTCTTTCGCACCGGCGGGCCGTCGGCGATCTAGCTCTTTTCTATCGCTACACCAACGGGCTTTGCTCCTCAGAGCTCTCTTCCATGATGCCGCCGCGCGATGTGCCTGCCAGACAGACCCGCCTGACTTCGGCATCCCATCTTAACCGTGTCAAACTTCGTACATCCAGAACTGGCCGATACGACCGCTCCTTTGTCCCGAGGGTGTCTAGATTGTGGAACAATCTACGGGAGGAAGCTTTTCCCAGTTCTACTAACCTTAGGCAGTTCAAAAATCGTATTAACAAAATTTCTTTGGGATCATCATAGCAGCCGCGGTGTTCCGGCATTTAGGCTTCTGCCTGCGCGGCTGTTTCGATATAAAAAAAAAAAAAAAAACAGGATAAAACACTGTAATTTCGGGAAAGTGATAAAAAATAGTAAAGCTAAGCAAATATCTTACCTGCTGATACTGGAACAGCTGTTATAAGTCCTAATGTGATGAACAGGTCATAAGTAAGGGCAACACTGAAGTTACCCAGTAAATTGGCAACTGAAAATCATAATTCGTTAGCTGTTGAATATTCGTATCAGTGAAATTGATAATATGAATAAGAAAACGTTTTTAAATCGAACAAATATTACTTTTACCAGTACGAATATTGTGTAAATCTATGAAAGGAAGTTACCGTCCAAAAACTATAATGCACCGTTTTGGATTTTCCCTCAATCGAATGCTTTTCGCATTACAGCTTACCTAGAGAAAGACAACTTGCGGCGAGTAACGCTGGCCACGGTAGCGTTTCCCAGTGTAAAGTCTCCGTACCTAGTAGGAACAGGCCCAAACATAAAGGCCACAGGAACGCCGCATTGAGCATGCCGATTAACGAAAAGAATAACGCCACCTGGAAAACAAGTCACTTTTAAAAAAATTGCTGAAATTACTGATGAGGTTCGATAAGCCCAGTTTTTTATTCGTCGACTATGTGTTCTCTCCACTGTTGTTTTAAAAACAATTTCAGCAACAATCTCGCCGACTTAGTAAGTAAATGTTTTTCTCCTGATTGCTATTTGTTGCTATTGTCAATAATTGTTTCCAGCTCCAGACGATGAAGACGTAGATCTTCGAAAGCTTGAGAGTTTAAGTTATAAGAGTGTACTTTTGCAATAATTTGCCTTCTATCCAAAGAAATTAAAGGATATCTTCTCCTAACAGTTAAGGCAATTAACTATGAATTATATATATATATATATATATAGGTGAAAAATTAAAGCTTCCGCCTTTTGTTGGGTACTTCGACAAAATTTAAGCAAAGAGGACTCTTTATACTTTTTTTAATTCTCTCTAGCTTTCAATGGACTTTGCCATCATCATCAGGAGCTGCAATTACAATGATAACAGTAGCAACAATAGTGTAAAATGAATTTAAATTGACTCAACTTACAGTAGTATGTGAGGATGTTGCTAATTGTTGTTTACCTATAGGTTGAGGGAAACGTCCAGTAACATGGTGAGAGCTGGATAGATGGTACAATGGTCAAAATGATATAAAATATGACAAGAACAAGTTAAAAACAGATTAAAAATTATTTAAAAAAAACATTAGAGCATTACATCGTGAAGCCAGTTGATGATTGCACAAAATGGTGGTCATGGAATAATGAGTGAGATGAAACCCTTTGACAGAAGGCCGAAGGTTGTCAATGTCTGTGTTGAAAGATGGAACGAATTGTGGGCGTGTGCCAAACGTTGCCAAATCACTTCAGATGATGTGATTTTCAGAATGTTATGTAAGAAATTGTTAAACCGACCTGGCTGCTTGGCTTAACCAACACAGTCTACTCCATCAATTGCAACAACTGCAACCAAATATACATAGGTCAGACCTCCAGATCTCTTAAAGGAAGGATGACATCACACAAAAGTGATGCTAGGCTTCATCCTGAAAGATGCGCTCTAGCATCTCATGTTAACACAACAGGGCATTCTATGAATTACACAAGTATCAAAGTTCTTGTTAAAGAAAAACACCTTTCCAAACGTTTATTCCTGGAAATGTCCCACATTTTCATGAATAACAACTGTATCAACAAAAAGACAGATGTTAAACAACTGAGCGTTTACTCATATTTGCTAAACTGCGAAAAATTGGAGAACTTACATATCTCCCCAAATTTCGACTCTTCACAACCATAAATAGAATCTGTATTTTGGCCGATTCCACCAGTAAATTTCATTCCACTCAAAATATAATAATTCTCTTCTCACGATTTATTAATAATTGTTAATTTAAATTCCCATTAATTAAAATATAGTTTATTCAACTGCCTCTGGTCGGTTTAACAATTTCTTACATAACATTCTGAAAATCACATAATCTGAAGTGATTTGGCAACGTTGGCACACACCCACAATTCGTTCCATCTTTCTACACAGACATTGACAACCTCTGGCCTTCTGTCAAAGGGTTTCATCTCACACATTATTCCATGACCACCATTTTGTGCAATCATCAAGTGGCTTCACGATGTAATGCTCTAATGTTTTTTAAATAATTTTTAATCTGTTTTTAACTTGTTCTTGTAATATTTTATATAATTTTGACCATTGTACAATCTATCCAGCTCTCACCATGTTACTGGACGTTTCCCTCATCCTATACGTAAACAACAATTAGCAACATCCTCACATACTACTGCAAGTTAAGTCAATTTAAATTCATTTCACACTATTGTTGCTACTGTTATCATTGTAATTGCAGCTCCTGATGATGATGGCAAAGTCCATTGAAAGCTATAGAGAAATAAAAAAGTATAAAGAGTCCTCTTTGCTTAAATTTTGTCGAAGTACTCAACAAAAGGCGGAAGCTTTAATTTTTCACACACATATATATATATATATATATATATATATATAATGCGAGCAGTAGTCATTGCGGTTGCCAACGACCAGATGGGCAAAAAATAAAATTAATTGTTAATTGGGAAATTGACATAAATTTTTTAGGCTTTAGTAAACTCTTTTAACAGTAATCTCGAGCTTTCGGCATTCTCTGTGGAGTCATCTTCAGGAGCTGAAAACACAAATATGATGCTTTTATTGGTATTGGTTGCTAGCATCATATTTGTGTTTTCAGCTCCTGTAGATGGCTCCATAAAGAATGCCGAAAGCTCGAGATTACCCATTAAACGAGTTTACTAAAGCATAAAAAATATTGCCTATATATATTACAAAGAAGCATCTGCAACTACAGAATTGACAAATACAAAACTAATTCCAACTTTTTGAGTTTCATTTATGGATATAATTGTGATTTGTACGTTTCAAAGTGGTTTGTCTTACCTGACCGTAGGTGGCGTCTCCCACCACTTTCCTAAATAGCACCTTATACACCGCTGAAGCTGCCGCAGCGGAAGTGGCCAGCACCACTCCTCCCAAAGTGGGACTACCGGTGATACCGTCCATATACGCTAACAACGCTACGCCAGTGTCACATATTATCACAGCCATTATCTAAAAAAAATCATGTCAGAGATATGTCAATTTTGCTCTAAAAACTATGCATTATCAACAAGCAAGACTCAATGTACACGTTGGCCAGGAGATGGCACAAAAGCTTCACCCTGACAAATATAGCTTGTGCCATAAAATGCGAGAGTTGGGGCCGTTCCTACCATTGTAGGACGTCTTTAATCTTTGTGGCCTCCTTGATTTTCATAGTTCCTTCAGAAAGGCATGGGTAGTCCTAGATTTTTACTGTTTCGTGTCAGCGCCCCAATTTGAGGTTATATTTTCTTGAATTCTAAGAAATTTCAGGCTGATAAGACTTGATTTTTATTATCTATCTGATCAAATTTCTTAAGATTCAAAAAGGAAACATAACCTCACAAATGAGGAAACATCATATGTTTGGAAAGTTATATTCAAGGCTAGGCCTTGCTAAGAAGACCAGGATCAGGACGAATACTGCAGATCCTGTGACGTTTCTGCTAGATTGAAGGTCAGGTTTTATTGTACATTCCCTTAATTCAAGGCGATGAGAAAATACTAAAAAGAGGTAAATTTATTGGAGTAATTCTTGAAGTTTTACTGTGTAAAATTGTGGAAAGACATATAGGTCCACTATCGGCCAAAACACGAACGATAGAAGGTTTCGGTTGAAATCAGTGAGATCAGTGAGATATGGAAATCTAATATAGTCCTAAATTTTTGAAACAAAGCAAAAATCAACTGTCCTCTAGAGATTCTAGAATTGTGAATCTTAAACAAATTTAATATATTACAGAACAGATTCGAAATAGTATACAATAAAAGAATACAAATATACTAAGTGACATATAAATCCGAACACCCAGTTTAAATGGTTTTATTTCAATAAAATTTTGTAAAAGTACTTAATGAAGCATAATAAGTAAATGATAAAAATTTCAAAATGATTGCACTGCTTTAAAGCCCCTTGACCTTTAATAATGTGTGGATGCACCCTGATGTGCTACGCATTCTCCAACGCGCCTAGGCACGCTTCTGATCAGGTGGTCAATGTCCTCCTGTGGTATCTCATTCCAGGCAACCACCAACTCCTCTCGAAGTGCTTCTAGAGTCTGAGGAGGACGTTGCAAATTGAGCAATCTCCTACCCATCATATCCCACACGTGCTCAATTGGGGATAAGTCGGGAGATCTTGGTGGCCATGGTAACAATGTGACATCATTATGTTGAAAGAAGTCTATTGTGACTCTTGCAACATGTGGTCGGGCATTATCTTGTTGGAAAGTTGGATCTGGCAGGGTGTCAAGATAGGGTAAAAGATGGGGTTCTAGAACTTCGTGGATATAAAGCTGCGCGTTCATGTTACCTCTGATGAAGATTAAGGGTGACCTGGAACCATAAGCTATAGCACCCCAAACCATAACTCCAACAAAAAACTGTGGATTCCTCCTTTCACCACGTCGCCTTCTAACCCTAGCACGACCATCGTGCATGCCTAAACAAAAGCGAGACTCGTCACTAAAGACAATACTGTTCCATTCCTGATCCCAGAGTGACCGTTGTCTGCACCACTCAAGGCGATTACGTCGGTGTTCTCGAGTTAAAGGGAGGACCCAGTGTGGCCGGTATGAAAACAAGCCAAAACTTCTCATTCGTCGGTAAACACTTCGCATGCTAATAGGTCTTCCGTGTTCTGCAAACCATTCATTTGCAATGGACCTGGTAGTGGAGAAACGGTCCCTTAAGGCCAATAATCTTAGGCGGCGATCTTCACGGTCTGTTGTTCTACGGCGGCGTCCAGTGCCCCTTGCTCTTTGCATACGGCCTTCTCGAAGCCATGCCTGACAACACCTAACCACAGTGTCTACACTTCTTTGCACTCTAACTGCAATTGCCCGAAAAGAAGGTCCAACTTCCCGGAGTCAGACTATACGGCCCCTATCAAACTCACTAAGTTGACGAAATCGTACAGGTCTCCGTACTCTAGGCATCGTAACCGATCGTAAAGGATGTCAAGAACCAAAATCCGCCAACGTTGATTCTTTACTGCGGCTGAAATATTCATTTTTAGAGCGTTAGTGAATTAAAAAAAAGCAGTATAAAAACCGGAATGTCCAACTGATAAGGCTGACAATTTTTTCACTTGTTATTTACAGTAAGATAATTACATTCACCAACTTTTATTAAAATAAAACCATTTAAACTGGGTGTTCGGATTTATATGTCACTTAGTATATGTAAATAAATAGGAATACTCGTTGAGTGAGTCAATGTCTGTATATACGAAGACAACGAGACCACAAAAATGATAAAAGAGGCGGGAAGAATTTTTCAGATGTGATAGAATCCTAAATGACATGTAATATAATCTGAAAAATTTGAAACAAGGCAAAAATCAACTGCCCTTTAGAGATTCTCCAGTTGTGAATCTTAAAAAAACTGTAATGTATTACAGAGTTGCTTTGAAATACTATTTAATAACTCAATAAAAATGTATAAATAAATTAATAAGAATACTCAATGAGTGAGACAGTATCTGTGTATACGAAGACACCCAGACAGCAAGAATCATGAAAGCGCGTGAATCATTCTCGCTAGAAGAATTTTTCGGTTGCCAGTGTTCAATAAAGGTGAATTCATAAAAAAATGCATATAAAAACCATAAAATAAATATAACTAAGAAACGAATGTTTGCAGTTTTAATATAATAATAATAATAATAATAATAATAATAATAATAATAATAATAATAATAACATGCCTTTATCCGATTCTTTTACAAATACGTATTTTGAGTAAGGCAAGGTACTAAAAATTAAAATAAAATTACAAACATGAATAATAAGAATAGAGTAGTAAAACGATGAATAAATACATGTGATTTGTGCGTGAAAATCATACAGTCAGTATTATTCTTGCTAAATTTTCGAAAATTGATTTCCTCATTAATAGGTAGAGGAGGCGGATAGAAGCATTGCTTTTAATTTTTTCTTGAAATTTATTATTATAATATAATCCTAAAAAAATTAAAAAAGGCAAAAATCAACCGTTTTTTAAAGATTCTCTATTTGTAAATCTTGAAAATTGTAATGTATAACAGAACTGCTTTGAAAGAATATTCAATAAAACAATACAAATGTGTATACAGGGTGTCCGCAAAGTTGGGGTCCTCCTTTTCAGAAACAACTACCCTTGACAAAGGTAATGTATAGTGAAACGAGGGCGAGTAAAAAAAAAATAAAGGAAAAAGTACTCACTCTCCAGTTGACGAGAAAAGCTAAGTACGTCTCTGCCCGAAATCATACCGCTCCAACAGAAAATGAAATCAGCTGATGCGCTACCGAGCAGACGCAGGCAAACAAGGAAGGCAAAATGTTGCGTAAAAAATCTAGGTATTGCATCCCGTCCAATCGATTTGGGAGAATAAATGGTCCAATGAGCATACCGTTCACCATGCCAAACATTCACCGAAAATGTTTGTTGAAAATGTGCCCGACGGACAGCGTGCGGATTTTCTACTGACCAAACATAGTGTTACGAAAGTTATTCACCCCATTACGCGTGAACGTAGATTCGTCTGTCACCAATATGCACTTCAAAAAGTCCGGATTATTGTCATGTTGATGCAACAACCACTCACAAAACCGCACTCTTGCTGGAAAATCGTCAGGTTGAAGGGCTTGTACACGATACAGCCCCTCTTCACGCAGCGTTTGCCACACTTTAGTTTTTGATACTTGCACTTCTCTAGCCACGTCTCTAGTGCTTGTTGAGGGATTCTCGTCTACGCGATTACCTCTACACGTGTGACCGTAACCGTCGGTTGAAGGTTGCATACTGACCTGACACACTGACCCTGACCCAATTCTGTCGTCGGGTTGAGCTAGTGTTCTAGTACCAGTCGGGGATGTCGCGGCTACAGGACGGTATTCAGATATTTTTGATGTTGCAGAGCCCTTTATCTCGGTTCCCTTAAGACATTGGTGTATACGGTACTAAGAAAAATTGCTTATGTTTTCAAGATCTACACGTCGTGTAAAGGAAAACCCCAACTTTGCGGACACCCTGTATAAATAAGAACACTCAATGAGTGAATCAGTATCTGTGTATACGAAGACTTCGAGAACTAAAAATCACAAAGGAGGCGGACATCATTCTCGCTGTAATAATTTTTCAGTTGTTAGTGTTCAATAAAAGTGAAATCATAATCCACTATATCTAAGGATGGACACTGAATACTCACTCTAATACCGACGAACTGCTCGTGCAAAATAACCCAAGAGAGCAGGTAGACGAATGAGACGTTGGTAGCGAAGAGCGCCATCACGTCCGTCGCAGGCAGGATCCTTAGGGACATTATGTACATGTAGTTCGTGCCTACCCATAAGATGCAGAATAGGCTGCAGCGGGTCATGAAACGCACTGAAAATATAGATAATTATATTTTTTAAGGGTTCCTAGTTAGCCGAGTGGTTAGCGCGTCGAGCTACTTATCGGTCGACCCGCGGTTCGCGAGCTCGAATCTCCGCCTCAGAAGTAAATTCCGAGCCATGGATGTTGTGTCGTGTGTCTGTATTACGTACCAGATCGGTGAATTGCATCACGGGAGCAGGAGGCTGCATGTTACTACATGTTGAGACATGTCCATGAGCGCATAGTAGCCGCCAGCCGTCTGCTGATTCACTTGTTCATTTGTATTGACAGTGTAAAGTCGCGTAGTGAGATAAGGGCAGTACTGTGGTATAACTTTACGCGTGTTTTAAGCATAGACCAATGCTTAGAAGAAATGACGCTTGCATTAAAGAATGATTGCCCTCATCGTACGACTATATTTAGGTGTTCTGTGTGAAAATATGCTGATTTTGGACGTACCTGCTGTGAATCCTTTATCTCTGAAATCTCTTATGCTCTCTGAAAGAATATCAAAAATTGATTCACACCTTCTGTTGCTCAACCTTGTCAGGTAGTACAAAGGAAAGAACAGCATTGTCCAATTCGTGACGAACCACGTGGTGAAGAACGGCGCTTGATAAGTAACACTCTAGAAACAAAAACAGTAACGAAATATTTTGTTTTAGTAACGCCTTCCCTTCGAGAAACTGTGGTACGAGGGTTGTTTCAAAAAAAAAATGTTCCCAACGCTGTAACTTTGCCGCACGTAATGCTGGGAGAAATCTGGCAACACTGTCGTGTTTGCCTATTCTCCATCATCGATCTCAACAAAAAGCGCCTATTGGCGATGCCCAGTAGTGGTGTTGATCCTCGTCACTTTCGAGCACTCGTTACCAATCGTTACTCTTCTCCAGAGTAATCATTTATTGTATTCATTACTTTGATTACTTTGATTTCTTTGATTACTTTGATTACTTTGGTTACTTTGATTACTTCGATTACTTCGATTACTTCGATTACTTTGATTACTTTGATTACTTTGATAACTTTGATCACTTTGATCACTTTGATCACTTTGATCACTTTGATCACTTTGATCACTTTGATCACTTTGATCACTTTGATCACTTTGATCACTTTGATCACTTTGATCACTTGATGACTTTGATGACTTTGATCATTTGATGACTTTGATGACTTTGATGACTTTGATTACTTTGATTACTTGATTACTTTGATTACTTTGATTACTTTGATTACTTTGATTACTTTGATTACTTGATTACTTTGATTACTTTGATTACTTTGATTACTTTGATTACTTTGATTACTTTGATTACTTTGATTACTTTGATTACTTGATTACTTTGATTACTTTGATTACTTTGATTACTTGATTACTTTGATCACTTTGATACTTTGATTACTTTGATTACTTTGTTTACTTTGATTACTTTGATTACTTTGATTGATTACTTTGATTACTTTGATTACTTTGATTGATTACTTTGATTACTTTGATTACTTTGATTACTTTGATTACTTTGATTACTTTGATTACTTTGATTACTTTGATTACTTTGATTACTGTGATTACTTGATTACTTTGATTACTTTGATTACTTTGATTACTTTGATTACTTTGATTACTTTGATTACTGTGATTACTTTGATTACTTTGATTACTTTGATTACTTTGATTACTTTGATTACTTTGATTACTTTGATTACTTTGATTACTTTGATTACTTTGATTACTTTGATTACTTTGATTACTTTGATTACTTTGATTACTTTGATTACTTTGATTACTTTGATTACTTTGATTACTCAGGGTAGCAAGAGTATACAAGCTCTTGTATTTTTGAAGCTTTTCTTATTTAAATTGTACTGAAGGTTGCTTTTTTTTAATCTGTAAGTTATATTGGTTTTTGAATTTGAATAAACTTTGAATAAACTTTGAACTTTGAATAAACTTTGATTACTTTGATTACTTTGATTACTTTGATTACTTTCATTAATTTGATTATTTGATTATCTTGATTACTCTTATTACTTTTATTACTTTTATTACTTTTATTACTTTTATTACTTTTATTACTTTTATTACTTTTATTACTTTTATTACTTTTATTACTTTTATTACTTTTATTACTTTTATTACTTTTATTACTTTTATTACTTTTATTACTTTTATTACTTTATTACTTTTATTACTTTGATTGCTTTGATTACTCTGTTCCCGGTACCTGTACAATCATTGATCGTTGAGTGGCAACTCTGGTTCAAAAGTAATCAAAGTAATCAACGTAATCAAAGTAATCAAAGTAATCAAAGTAATCAAAGTAATCAAAGTAATCAAAGTAATCAAAGTAATCAAAGTAATCAAAGTAATCAAAGTAATCAAAGTAATCAAAGTAATCAAAGTAATCAAAGTAATCAACGTAATCAAAGTAATCAAAGTAATCAAAGTAATCATTTCGTGCTCGGATTGGTACTCGGTACTTCGCGTATCTATGAGTAACGGGCACTCGAGTGACGAATAGTTACTTTTTCAACAACACTCATGCCCAGTACCGACCCAACAGCCATGCGCAATGTAGCCGTTCATCGCCGTCACCGTCAGGTGCGAAATTCAATGGTGAATTCGGTTTTTCAAATAAATAATTTCTTGTGCCTGAAAAAATGTGGGAACCTGATTTTTGAGACAACCCTAGTATACAGTTTTAAGTTTCAATTAGCGTTGTCAAAACGATAAATTGACTATCAACCCTATCCAGGACAAGGGGTTTAAAAAGGCGACCATTACGATACACGCGGTGATAAAAACATCGATCGACATTGTGAAAAACATTTTAACCATACCAGAAAGTAGCAAATAGCGTGCAAAACTAAGATGATATACTGATATGTATGCTTCTGTTTTTGTTAACCGTTGTTTCGCCACTAACAGTATCTTCAAAATCAAATCATTTCGCATGTATCAATATTGGTTCAGCAGTAACTAATATTAGATTACAAGAACAGCAGTAGACAGACCAGGAGAAACTATAGTGTCTGTATTATGACGACAGAAAAATCTATAGCTCTAGCTCCAAAAGTCCTTCATTATAGCTCATTATAAGTAAATCGAGACCTATTCATAACCATCTGATATATTTGGCCGGTTTTATTCAAAAAAGCAAAGGAAATGTTATTATCTATTCAGCCATGGTAGTATCGTACCATAAAAGCTCATTAAATGTTAAGAATATAGCTTCTGTAGCGAAATAAGAACCTCCCTGGCCTACTACGAGTTGGTTCAATAAAATATGCAAGGCGCTTTCAGCTAGAAATGTTTACGACGGAGAATGAAAGGCTGAAAATGCAGCGCAGTCCATCTCGTTCGTTCCGACAGATCACCTCATGAGCAAGATAAATGTTATTGACATGACTCGACCGAATATGTTTGCTCCCCGTTTCTGTAATTATGACGATCCGTAGAAAACTCAAAATGCTATGCGCAAATATATAAAAATGAATTACCAGTGCTGGGAAGGAATCGTGGAATGAGTTTATTCATCAAATACGATAGATGAAACCACAAACACCCCAATAAGCAAAATTAAAAAATAATAGAAAATAGAACAATGAAACTAAATCATTAAGAGAAGGGTATAAGCAAGTGGATAACTAAAGGGCTGGTAAGATCCACAAATGAAAAAGAAATACTCTATAAATTAATGAAAGGAATACTAACATAGAACATTATAATCAAGGCAAAAATGAATTTATAGAACTTGTAATAGAAACAAAACAAAGATACTATTTTCAGAAACTAAATAATAATTCACACGACTCAAAAAGTCTATGGACTACTAACTGTCAATGATATTTTAAAAGGAAAGCAACACAGAAACGGGTGAAGTGATAAATGAAAATCAACGAATATGCGATGAATTTATAATTTTTTTTACATATGTCGGAGAAAAATTAGCAAAAAGCGATTATAATAAATTTAAGTTACACGAAAAATACAATAAGAAAATGCTTGTCAATTGTGATGTATGTGGTGTACCTCGGGGTACAGTGTTAGGCCCTCTTTTATTTAATATCTATTTGAATGATACATTCAAAATTAACTGTGTAGGTAAAATAGTGTTATTGTTCTTATACAATGGAGTAAATAAATGTATTGTACTACTGATGAGTGTTGGAGAGCACAAGACAGCGCTTCCTGCGATTGGTCATAGATACAAAGACAGAAAACAAATCTTTGCTTTATCAATAAGTACAGCATACGCTCGATAATGTAAACTAATTTAATCCAAGTGTGGTTCACATTATCGAAATGTTTACATTAGCGAACGTGATTTATATAATATTTGATTTATTAAAAGAAACGTTTAATACATACTATTTATAACAAAATAAACAAATATTCTAACAGCGATAAGTATTTTTTTAATTAGAAGAAAAATAATTAAAAATTTTGTCTGCGTAAATTTGCGCATAGCATTGTCTTCCAATGCCTGCGCCCGTAATTTACGAAGAACTAAAATATCCGTGTATGAAACTTCTTTTCTTTCAGCCCAATCTAAAGCTTGGTTAAAAACTTGTATAGCTTGCGCGTCAGTCACTACACTTCTGACTTCAATGGGATCGTTCTCATCATCCTCACTGTCCATATCCTCCTCCGTATCAGCATCATTCGTCTGCTTATCTTCGTTCCATAAATTAATATCAGCAGGAGTACAAACAATGTTGGGATTCACTGTTTTCAATAAATCAACAACATCCAATGACACACTAATAACATTATCATTATTGGATCGCAAACGTTCTCTAATTACGCTTAAGGGGACATCGTCTTCTTCATCATCTTCATTATTGGTACAAAAGAGATTGTTCCAGCATTTTTGAATAGTTTGCTGGTTAAGTTCATTCCAGGCCATATGTAAATCTAAAACAGCTTCTCGTAATGTTACTTTTTTAAAGCCTCAGATAAGTTTTCAGGATTCTTTGATAAGACAGACGAAAGTAGAAACTTCCTATAGTATAGTTAGGTGAGTCTTATTATATTCTGGTCCATCGGTTGAATTAACGGTGTTACGTTGTTACATGACGAAAATTGACCCATCCCTGCTCCTCAGTTGTTGCTCGGGAGGATGACTTGGTGCATTATCCAATAGTAATAATAATAATAATAATATTTATTTACTCTAAAATACAGGGAACATGAAACGAGTAAATAAATATAATATATCCATAGGAGGACAACGCCTGTGCATGGATCATATGTATGTTGAATTGCAAAATATAATAAAATAGAGAGAAAAAAGAAATTATTGGTAAGAATGGTAGAGCATTTATTGTGTAATATTTGAGATTATTTTATTAATTTGATTTCTCCCAATCGTGTTAATAAATTTTTTTAATTTTTTTTGAAGCCTAATGTATTGCGTAATTGTTTTAAATTATTTGGTAAATGTTCGTACAATTTTGGAGCTATATACAGGTGACATCGTTTCATTAGGGATTTGTTTGGTTTAGGAACGTTTTTTGCGCGTAATTTATATCTGGTTTTATGATTATGTTTAATTATGTCGTGTTCACTAATAGTTTTGTGATAATGAGTGATGGTATGTAAGAAGTAAAGTTGTTTAGTGT